TCAATATTCGTGCTATCTGTGCATTCATTCAAAAGAAAAAGTATACAGATGCTAAGTTGCAATTTAGGATTTAGGCTATCAAAGTTCAGAGACTGGAGGAGTTGAGGATGACCCAGTGAACACATTTCCATGCTGACCTAGCCCTGGGAGGATGGAGATGAATTGAAGTAGGAATGAGTTGAGAAGCACTGCAGGCAGCAAGGAAGGGGAGAGGCCAGAATTAATAAGGCATGGGGCAGGGGAGATGAGGAGCTCAGCCAGTGAGGAGAAGGGTGCCCAGTGAAGAGCGGTGGAAAATAGGAGGTGAGATAGAGCAGAACCAGGTGATAGATGGCCTAGAAGGCTAGCAGAATATTTAACTTGGTTAGTTTGGCTATAAGAAGGTACTTAAAATTCATAAGCAGGAATGTAATATAAAATTATGACAAGCTGGGGTGTCTGGGTGGCTCAGTGGTTAAGCGTCTAACTTCGGCTCACGTCATGATCTCTCAGTTCATGAGTTTGAGCCCTGTGTCGGGCTCTGTGCTGACAGCTCAGATCCTGGAGCCTGCTTCAGATTCTGTGTCTCCTTCTCTCTCTCTGCCCCTCGACCACTCACGTTCTTTCTCTCTCAAAAATAAAACAAACATTAAAACATTTTTTTTAATTATGACATGCTATCATGATAGTTACCTAGTAGATGTTCCATAAATATTTACTTACTAATTGATTGAGGATTCAGGATAGATTGGGAAATGGGACAGAAGACAGGGAGACTTATCCATAGGTTCTGGCCATAATCAGTGGGTATGTGAATGGGTAGATTAGAGAGGAACATGGAAATAGGGAAACAGTAAATCTGTGAGAGCCTCCTTCCAAAGAAGAAAAGGCAGATTTATGATAGAATTTGTATAGTACTGACTGGAGATGAAGAAGACTGAAATATCTGATATACCCTTCAGGTTTCTAACCTGGATCTGTACACGAACATTGTCAAGAATGGTGTAACTTAAGAACTTAAAACTAACACCATCTTTAAATCACTGCACACTTTTCTAAAAGCATGGTTGGCCAAAACATTCTTTTATTGGCATGTAATTCTACCAGAATTGGCAAGGAGCTATTCTTTTTTTAATGTGCTCAGTAAATCTCTGTGCGGTTTCTTTATTAGGAGAGGGCCCTTTGATCCAGTAAAACCCATCAAGACCCCTTCTGAGACATTCACTTTGGATTTTGTATGAAAGTCTGTGGAGAAAAAGGAGAGCAGAATTGGGCTAAAACTAAACTCTAAAAGGCTAACCAACTGCCTCCATAACATTGCTCATATGTAGCGTAAATTTCATGAACCAAAAAAAGGCATCAGGAAATATGTGGCAATTCAGCATACCCATTTATAAATAGAAAAGCACGTTCCAGGACTTGAAGGCGCTCACCTAACAAATGCAGAATGTGGTCCTGGGAGTCTGTACCATTGCCCTTTTTGATTTGGGGCAATGAAGCTTACAAATAAAAATCTTCAAAGAAGAAAGTTGCCTTTTGATCAGCTGGTTAGAGGCAGGTTTGAAATTATGATAAATATGCTACATATTCACTGTATTAACAGGTTTAAACTCTAATGTATCTGCCTGTGTCTCTGAAAATGAGGCTGACTCACTGTACCCAGGCTGAAGAAGGGTCAGATGGATGAGTTTGGCTATGGGTTTATGGATCCAGGCAGAGAGGGCCAGACATCAGGGAATGTGCTTGCACCCTCCTCCCCTCTGCCCTCCCTCTGCACCATGCTGAAGTCTCCATTTCTTTTCAATGCTTTAACATCTGACTGAAGTGCATGAACTACCCTCTCAGACGCTAGGTGCCTAGAGTAAAGCATAAAACGGCATGATTACCTGGGGAATTTTAGAGTCAGCTTCCAAACTAACCAAGAGAGTTTAGGCCCCAAAGGTGTTACGTGAATTACTGAGTGGATGAGGTTCAATTTAGTAGATAATTATATCTCTGTACTTTCTTTTTGTCTTTATCCTACTTCTCACCTCTTCTGGTCTCCTTTCTGCTACAGGGTAGCAGGAGATAAGCCTCAGCCACAAAGCTGGACATCCCATTCCTATCCAGTTTTTGACCCTAAGCAATGGTGCAAAGGTCTTTAGGGACTCCTAAATCAGTAACCATTTTCCAAGCCCAGTTGGGTTAAGACACATGTCAGATCTCTGCCTTCTCCACTTCAGCCCACGACAGGAATATCATGATGGTCTCATAAACCCACCACTGAAGCCTTTGGAGTCCTCCTGCAGCTTCCCCAAGGAGGGAGATCAGGGATCAGATATCACATTTGCATGATGATTAAATGTGGGATGCATACCCAACAAGCCCATAGTTCAATCATAAATGGGGAGAATTACTTTAAATGGCACTCAAATTTAGTCGACTTATCAGCTGGTTAGAATAATCACAGGACAATAAGGCATTATTGTCTAAGAGCATTACTGTAGATGACAACTTTCTGAAAGCCTCTTTAAAATAGAAAGGAACCTGCTTTTAGGACTCAAAAATTGGTTGAGAGTTGTAAGACATCCAGGAGAAGTTTAAAGTGGAGTTGGGAACAGAGTGAACAGGCTCTTAACCATGGGTAAAATTGTAAGAGAACATCTTACACTATTCTTGCAAACCAACTTGTCATTTTTCAAGTGTATAATGAAATAATGTGTATGAATATTTTCATGCAGAACAGCCTTTCTTCCAAGTTTTGCCCTCTTCAGTGCTTCGTGGTACATACAACAGAGTCTTTTAGAACAGTGTTTTACAATCTCAAGACCAAGGGCTCCCAAAAAGATCCTGAGAGAAGTGTAAATGAATAGCAACTATCTCTAAGACTGCATTTTTATAAGTAAATGATGAAGAATAAGGATGTTCATGGGGAAGAACCCTTGAAAAATCATTAGGAAGAGTAGAGAATGAAAGTAAAATGCACATAATCCTATGCCAATTAGCAGATCTTTTATAGTCTGGGTGTGTGAGATGAGCTGAGGGTAAATAGTACTGCCTGTGTATGGGAGGAATGGCTTTCTGTATTCAAGTCAGGGTCGTGGCTAGAAAACAGGAATGAGGCTCCTTCTTGGGTTCCACTTCCTTTTTATAACTGCTCCCCCTATGATTTTTTTTTTTTTTAGCTTTAAAAGCGCTTTGTGTGAAAAGGATGGATTGGAACCCACTAGGTCTTTTTACAGAATGTCAAATATTTTACCCATTAAGAGACTCAATTTGAAAAGGTCCTTGGCACAGATTAATGAAATAGCCCAAATATTATTCCTCCTTGTTCTGCAGTCTCGATGGAGTAATAACTGGTCACCTGGACCTTTGCTCATTAATGAGGTGGTCAGGGCTCAAAGATGTGCACAATTTTTTTCTTTCTTCTTTTACTACTTTTTACACTGTGCGGGGTTATAGTGCATTGGGGACCACTTGCTTATCGACCCCAGTAACATTCACCCAGGGAGACTCTTTTTCACTCTTTTGCCCTTTGTTCTAACTCAGTGCACCTCCACCACATCCCTAGGAACATTTGACAGTGTCTAGAAGACATTTTTAGTTGTCATAGTTGGGGAACACTACTGGCATCTAGTAAGTAGGGGGCCAGAGATACTGATAAGCATCCTATAATGCATAGCACTGCCCCCCACAACGAAGAATCATCCAACCCAGAATGTCATTAGTGCCAAGACTGAGAAATCTTGTTATCCTTGATTTATAATTATGTCTTTAGGTATATATTTTTTCTTCTTTTACCACCAAAATGAAAATGAAGTCTCTGACCCCTGTATTGCCAAGTGTGGGTCAGCTTTGACTCTGTGTTGCTTATTCCTCTTGAGCCTGTTTTTTCATGCCCAAAGTCCTCAATCCCCTTCATGGAGGCAAGCTGTGGTGCTAAGTTCTGAAAAGTTATTTAACTAAACTGGTCAAATTTGTGCTGTGAAAAGAGGGTTCACCTGAAGATCTGTAATGACAAGTACCCCTGAATGTAAATCTTTCCCAAAGGACAATGAAGTCAGCCATTTATTAAGGACATACCATATATAGGAACTTCACATTTCATGTCTGATCCAATCTTCCCAATGACTTAACTTTTCTATTGATAATTAAGGAAGGAGATTCAGAGAGGTTGAGTAACTTGCCCACAGTTACACACTGGTCAGTAGTCGGGATTTGGAATTTAAACATGGGTCCATTCAACTCCCAAGTCCACATCCTCACCCATATGTTTACTGACATCAACCTAAAATTATGTGCCTGGTGACTTTAACTTCATGTGTTTCCATACCCCCAGAAGTCCTTGCAACTACTCTTAATGATAGTGCTCCCAAGAAAAGAGAAAAGAGAGTCCCTCTGGCCATGCAAACTCTGGTCAGCTGCACCTTACCTTTGTCCTGACAGCAGAAAGATGACACATTCCCTAACCAGTTGTCCATGTCAGGGCATGCAGGAAGACCAAAATAGGCAGAAAGAAGTGGAAGATAAATGAAATGTACTTCAAAACTGAAACTCACAAGGAGGGCCCAAAGTCCTTCTCTGGATGGCCAGTCAAGACAGCATTTCAATGAGGGAGGCATTCAGCTACAAGTTATCATAAACTAACAACCATAAGAATGCTAACAGTGGTTTACAAAACTGCAAGGCTCTATATTCCTTACATAGCTAGCTGGATATCCAAGGTTTACAGAAACTGGCACTGATGATGCTGCTCGGTGATGACATCCATGGCATGAACTCTTCCTTTTTCTCTGCTTTGCCCCTCTTGGTGCTTTAGGGTTTTTTACCCCTTGGTTTTGCTGCCTCATTGTAGCAAGATAGCTGTTGCAGCTCCAGGCATCATATCTACCTTCATGGGGGGAAGAAAGAGGGGAGAAAGATTCAAGATCTCTGTCCCTTTTATCTGGAAAAGCCTGAATTATCCCCCTGCCCCATCGTATGTACACACACACACACCCACCCCAACCAAACTTTACTTATATCTTGTCAGAATTGTGTCACGTGGCTGTCCCTTGCTCCAAAGGAAGCTAGGAAAGCTTTTCTAGACTCCTTGGAAACAAGAGAGAAGGGGAAAAAAAAGGTTGAAATTGTCTGATAAATCCAAAAACTAACAGTGTCTTTTTATAGTGATTTTTACACTCAAGTTTCTACTTTTCTGAAAATAGATACAACAGCTCTTCTAAGATATCTCTTTTATAGACATGTCCACTGTGGTACTCTGAAAGAGGGTGTGTTGGTTTGCTAGAACTGGCATAACAAAGTACCACTAAATGAATGGTTTGTGACAAAAGTTTATTATCTTGCCCTTCTGGAGCCTAGAAGTCAAAGACTAAAGAGTCAGGTGAGCCATGCATGTCTGAGCCTGGTTCATCCCAGGTCTCACTCCCAGCTTCCAGCAGTTCCTTGGCCATGACAGCACAGCTCCAGTCTTTACATGGCATTCTCTCTGTGTGCATGTCTGTCTCTGTGCCTAAATTTTCCTTTTTCATAAGGACACCAGTCATAGATTAGATCAAGCTCCACCCTAATGAGCTCATCTTAACTTGATCATCTACAAAGATCCACTTCCAGATAAGGTCACATTCACAGATACTGGCGATTAGGACTTCAACACCTTTGGTGGGGGAAGCACAACTCAACCTATAACACAGGATTTCTCTGAATTCTTCATAGTCTCTTAGCAGTAATGATGATAGGTGGTATTTTAGAGCAGTTACTGTATGCTAAGCAGTTCATATGGATATTCTCATTTAATGGTACCACTCGCACATAAGATCAGGACTATCATTATTTCTATCTCCTCCCATTTATCTGTTGACTATAAGGACTTCACCACAGCCATTTACATACCTCGTATGCCATGTATCTTGCTCATAAATGCTAAATAAGGCCAGACAAGTTGATTTAAAAAAGCTTTAAAAAAAAGTTGGTTTGTGTGTTTTTTTTTGTTCTCAGAAGCTTTCTTTGCCGCCTTAGAAACACAAATAAAACACTTCATTCCATGCGCTGGACGTGATGGGCTCCTCTTATTCAGATGCAGAACCATCTGCGCAAAATACTTCATCAAATTCATCAAAAGTTCACTCAAAAGATGAAATTGCCCTTTGGTGGAACAGTGCCCAAGCTGAAGGCAAATGATATATAGAAACCCAAATGTGACACTTTCGAGGCACAAGCAGGCACTGGGATCCTGCCCCCAACTCCTGCCCAGGCTCATGGGTGACTATGGTTCTGCTCTGGCAACCCAGGGAAGAGGAGGGAGAGGAGGAAATGGGGCTGTTGACAGCCATGCAGGTCAGGAGGCAGCAGTGCTGTCTGTCCTGGTGCATAATGTCCTGCTGGCCCTTATCAGCCGTCAGGAAGCTGGCATTGATCTGTATGGTCTGGTGCCACTTCCCCCTGCTTTACACACATTGCTTTGGCTAAACAGCACTGTAACCGATCCTTCTCACCATAAAACAGCCTTAGTAGCCACTTACAATTGTCCAGGGTTTTGCTGTCATCCTCCCCCCATAACAGGACCACAAATGGAAAAAAAAGGCTGCTTCCTCATCCATATAATACTGGGGACTTCATGGGAAATTTGGCTTTTTTAAAGGCAATCACAACAGTTTCTCATTTCCTCCAGACTAGGGGCAGAGAGTGCAAGAAATGATAGTGAAAAGCAAGTAATATTTTATGTTTCTGTGGCACCTCATGGTTTAATGTGGACAGGCATATGAGGCATATGAGGCATATGAGGCAGGCTCAGGGAAAGGACTTGTCCAAGGCACACAGCTAGTAAGTGACCACCTTGCAGCGGGTACCCAGGCAGTCGGTGTCCAAATACTGTTCTCCTTCCACAGTGACATTGAGCGCTGCCGCAGAAAGCTGTCATGCAGTACTTCTGATCTGAGCTGACAGAAACTTCTCAAATCAGAAAGGGAAAGAATTCTGAATGAAGGACTAAAGCACCTATCCCAGGTGCTGTGCCTCAGGGAGAAGCTGATGCAGGAGATGATGTTACTCTAAGTGACCTCTCCTGGGTGGCTTCCTTTAGTTTGGGCTTTGTCCACTCCACAATTGTTCCTTTTTTGTGATGGGTGTGTCTAGCTCCTTCTCTGACTCAGCAAACAGCCCTGAGAAAAAGATCTTTCTCATTCTGATTCCTGAGGATAAAATCTCTCTCAAATCCAAATAGAAAGAAAAACTATGGAAGGAAGCTAAAGTTATAGCAGCTAGCATTTCATGAGCACTAAAGATGGGTGCTTCAGGTTGAAGGCTTTGATTGGATAGCTTATTTAATTCCCCTCTTATTGGTAGAGGTGAGAAGAATTGTCCCCATTTAACAGATGGTAAAGCTAAGCCTTAGAAATTTTAAGTAATGTGCCCAAGGTTGTACAGCTGAGGAGAAGCAGCATGAACAAGAGGCCTGTATTCTGTTCCTTCCTCTACTGTTAACTTGCAGTGTAACCATGGACAAGGATTTACCTTCCTAGGGCCTCAGATTCCCCATCAAAACAATCATAGCATTTACATAGCACTCACTATGTGCAGGTCGCCAGGCTTTGCCTACACCATCTCATTTCATCCCCACAACTGTGGGGATTGTACTATTTTTATCTCAATTTCATAGATAAGGAAACAAAGGTTCAGAGATGTCAAGTGACTTGTCCACAGTCCCACAGCCGGGAATTGCATAAGCAAAGCATACATGGGACTCAAACATTTGCTCTATGACCATAGGTAATCCTCAAGGTACTTGAGCTCTAAATTTCTATCAATCCATTATTTTATCTGAGTTATTAACATTGATATGTACCTTTCTTCCCAAGTGTAGCAGGTCTATAGTGAGTTTTTGTGGTATTTCAAGGAACAAGCACTATCTTTATTTCCACTTTACAGATGAATAAATTGAGGTTCAAGTCAAATAAGTTGCTTTAAGTAATACAATCAGTGATAAGCAGGAGTGTCTTCAAAGTCAGACCTCCTGAATTCCAGTTCCATGTTAATCTAGATGCTGTGGACTTGACACTCAGCAACTGTGTTTACTGCTTCCTAATCTCTTGAGCATCCCCCAAGCGTCTTAGCAGGACATGAAAAAAGCAGGTTGTTTAGTGGCTAACAGCAGATATTCTGGAATCAGAATAGGGCTAGAATCCCTACTCTTCCAGTTACCACCTATATGACTTTGAGCAAATTACTTAACTTCTCTGAGATAGTTTTGTTCTCTGTAAAATTGTAATAGTAAACGCATCTACCTCCAAGAGTAGCTACAAAGATGAAGTCAGGTGTTTCATGCACAGCTTTTGGAATAGCGGTTGGTATAAAGTAAGCGCCAAGTAATTGTTACAAGGGATTAGAGTGCACCTTCTAGGGTCACCAGACTGAGCCAGCCCAGGACTACCCGACATTGCCTGGGGCTCCTTCTCCTAGCAGGCACCCTGCTAAGGCTCCGTACACCTGCCTTGAGCCTAAATGCTCAAGGTACCATTAGGCAGCTGCTTCTTCTACCGTCAGGATTTCTTTGCTCCTTTTGTCCTGACCCAGCTAGAGGGACCTCTAAAGGAAAGGGAGTGGAGACAGTTCATGATTAATTTTAGAAGCAGTAGACTGAGGTGGAAAGAATGTGGATTTGGATCTGTTAAGGCTTGGATTCAAATTTGGATATTGTTTAAAACCCCCCTCAGTATCAGATTATCATTCTAAAACAAGGATAACAATGCCCATTCCTGCAGAATTATTAAGACTAAACAAGAGGATGGCTGTAGAGTGCACTGAATGGAATAAGAAAATGGCCGTCAGTTTTAGATTAGCCAACCCTTTTGCAGTGGTCAAGTTATGGTGGGCCAGTTAGAAGTGATCTGAGCTCTGCAAATGTTCTCTGCTCATTTATTTGCCATTGTTTGTATTCTGAACTTTTGTCACTCTACCTGCGACTGTTGGGTCTCTTATAGCGTGCAACTAGCAAATTGCTTTTGAATGACATGTAGCTATTTAATTTTTATTGGTTAGAGAATTTTTATTGATTATTGACTATTGATTGTTATCACAAGGAAAGCAGCATTCCCAACAGGATGGTCACAAGCACCCAGCCCAGGGTTGGAGCCTCTAAACCATTGGTAGGTTCACCTTCCTAAGAATCAAGAGGCTCCACTGGCTTAATGATTACTCTGATTATTTTCTCAGTTATGGGTATTTGAGAAAGAAGCTCTGTCTTTGAAGCAGAGGATGGCTTCAAAGTTTATCATGCCATTTTTGCCATTCATTGTTGATGTTGAGTGAATCCTCTCCTGTCACTTTCTTCCGCTCATGTTAACTTTCCCTTATTCCTTCTCCATCTTTCCATCTTGTTCTGTCTAATCTCCCTCTTCTTGAATTTCTTCCTCATCTACCTCTCACTTGCTAGCCACAACTCTCCCACTGGTGGGTTATGGAAGACCTGTCTTTATTTAGCTTAAACTGTCTCTTCTGCCTTTTGGAGAAATTAACTGCCTACCAGCATCTTGGAATTGTTTGTAACGTTCACAGGAAGTAATACAAGTTCAATGCTTTTAAAATTCTACTTACTATGGAAATACAAGAATTACTAGTCTTTCTCTCTTTTTCTTTCTTCCTATTCCTCTTCTGCTCCCAGCATTAAGTCTTATTTCTTCTCTTTCTCAATTTATCCAGCTCGCATAATTTGCCTTTTCATTTTGTGAATGGAGATAATTTGTGAATAGAAATTACTTCCAAATGTTTCAAAAATATTTTCTAAGCATTTGCTTTAACATGGTCTTGTGAGCTTTTTTTCCTCTTTCTTTTTTTCATAAAGAAATAAGTGTTTCCAGGAAAACAGAGCCTGGAGGAAAAAAGGATCAGATTGCCCTGTATTCTTGGGTCTCTTTCGTTGATTACAACTTTGGGTCCCTGATCCCTAGAGTAACTTCAGATATGGACTTTCTCACCCTTGGTGGGAGTGGGGGGCAGTTTTATTTGGACTGCTGTCCCAGAACTCCCAGAAAGGAATTGTATGGAGGGAGGAGAAGAGAGTTGTGAAAATAGAGCTAGTCGAGCAGCTGAGGGCTTTTCAGATGAGAGAACCTCCATGTCAGTGTTTTACTTTTAAGCCTCATTCCCAAGCTTGAGTGGATTCGAGACTACCTCCTGAGAACTGACTCTGCCCTTGATCCATTCAATCAGCAGCCATTTACTGAATCTTTCCTCCTAAGTGCTGAGACCCCAGCAAAGCAGAGATGAGTAACCAAAGTCCCTGCTCTCCAGAAGGTCCTCATCACACAAGGAGGAAAAACAGATGTGCAAACAATCAGTGATACACAAAACTAAGGGTACCGTACTGTGCTCTGTACTAAGTGAGTGGGGAAAGGAAAAGGATGACTTTATCTGAAGCTTTCAAGTACATCAGAGAGGAGGTGCTATTTGACTTCTACCTGGAAAGGTGCACAGGAGTTTGGTGGGAGATAAGGTGGGAGAAGTCCGTTTCAGGAATAAAGAACACAGTGATTAAAGCCTAGGAAAGTATGGTGTTGTAGTGAACCACATATCATTAACACTGAACCAAAAAAATATAGGATGCTGAGGTATTAATGGAGACAGGACTAGAAAGAAGAGACAAAAGAAAAAGAGCCTGTTTGGATTTGATTCTGAAGTGATGTGCAAGGTGCTGAGAATTCTGAATAAGGGAAGCACAGAAGCAGTCTGGCAGCCCTATGCAGAATGAAGTGAGTGGGTCAAGACCAGAGGTAGGAAGAGACCAGAGGTAGGTGGCCATTTCAAAGCCCAGAAAGCAGAGAATGTGGATGGAACAAGGACAGAAGCAGGGAAGCCCAAGAGTAGAACAGTTATGAGAGAGATATCTTGGAGGTTGAATGTCCAGGTTTGGTCACCAAATCTTGTAGGAATGTATTTCCTAAGTTATTTTCACATGTGTAATGGAAAAGTTAAGACAGTAGAATTAGATTTAGTAGCGTTCCTGTCTTGTCACTGAATGATGTTTGAAGGACAATAGTTGTTAGGGGAAAGAAAATGCTTAACAAACATCCACTTTTCCTCTTCCCTGGAAACGACATGTTTCACCTACCCAGTGATCTCATTGCCTAAGTATAAGGAACAGTCACAGTACAGGTGATCTGAGCTGGGCTTCATTTAGAGAGGGGCAGGGATTTCTACTTATGTGACAATTACATACTGGGTTCTCTGAGGATTAGGATCCATACTGGGCTGGGTTGAGAGGGGCCAGGGATTAGATTGTTAGGATTAACATTCAGTATCAGATGTGGGGGATAATGTTGAGGATATAGATAAAGTTGATTTCAACCTTGACCCACACAAATACACACTAACCACTTAGCTACAAAAGACGGGGCTGAGGGTTATAAGGTGATCCCCAAGACGTCTTTAATGGGTGTTTGGAGTCTCTCATTTTCCAGAGATAAGTGAGAGAGAAGGATTCTCAAAGAACCCTCCTTCAGAAGGCAAAGGCACAAGCCCCATTCTTAGAGGAAAGGTCTTGGAATAGTGTCTGACTCCTGCTCTCCTTTTCTTCCTGTGAACATTAATTTTATGCTTTTGCAAAGTAGGAGGGAAGAGGGCATTTTTCAATCACAGCATGTTTGACCTTACCTGGTTATCCCTATTTTCATATGTTTCTGGCCGTAGTGTTTTGCTTTGTTTTCTTGACAAGAGCTGCCTGCCCCTGACAGCCACTTCATTTCAGCAGCTTGGGTAGTAGATCCTGAAACGATGGCCACTTCCACCTTAAGGTGTGTCTTTCAGTGATTGTGGTGGGGTAGGACGGAACTTCTACCAGACGGCTTCCCAAACTGAAATGTTGGCTTTTCTGAACTTCAGAAGTTGCTAAGATACTGTGTGTCTTTGGACACCATCCAGGCTGTTTCCTTCCATGCTCACAGCTTTGACGGAATATTTCCTCTCCCTGATATCGTTACAGAGGTGACATGCCAAACCAAAGTTAGAACTGTTACAAGACGTTTCTTTGAGTGCAGTTTTCCTGGGTCGCCCATTCATCTGCTGTGCTGGAAGAAAAAAGTAAAAATCAAAAAAGCTCTATTAAATAGATATGCCAAGTAACGAGGAAAAACAGAAAAGTTTCTTCAACTTTTATATGCTCAGAATTGTCTCACAAGCATATTTTTGTTCTTTTCCTCTATTTAAAAATTGATAACCTAGAAATAAAATCTAGAGAGAGCCAGAAATGGTTTGTGGCACAAAAGTGGCACCTACTGGTAAGCATTGGCTGAAATGTGAAGTTTAGATTTGTGCATGACCTTGACCAAAGTTATATCCTCCTGAGAAGGCTTCCTAATGATTTTCTATGTCTGGAAGGGCAAACCCTCTTTAGATGTATAAATATTAAAAAGCACTTCTTAGGCATGAGGGCACTGGTTTCAGGGCTACAGAATGACTTTTTCAGCTCGTAATTAAAAACATCTCCTGGATAACTAACCAGCAGCACTGTTTGCCCAAAGGAGCAAATGATTTAAAACTGGCTGGGTTGTACAATGAAAGGGGTGTGACCTGTGGGTATCTGTTCTTACCTCTGGTTTCTAGAAGCATCTACCCAGCTCCCCCAGCCTCCTCCAGCCATTGGGTTCTTGACATCCACAGCCTTCCTTTACTTCGATCTTCGGGATTTTTACTTTATCCTGGTGCTATTTATTTTACGTTTTCATTTCTATGTATTTACTCTGTATCTAAATCTATAGAACTAGTCCTTAAAGGAAAACCATGGCTCCCTCATTTACAGCATACACTTGAGGTTTGTAAGTTTGACTGCATTGAGCAGACAAAATAATCACTTTTGAAGGACTATCAAATTTTTCAAAACTGGGACTTCTACATATTTGAATATTTTCCTGTTTAAGAGGCAGACTCCATGGAAGGATGCAAAGGGAACATACATTATCAGGTACAAAGATTTGTGATTTGTCCAGTTGGATACATGCAAAGGAAGAGCTTGACATCTACCCCTTCCAAATGGTAACGGGCTTTTCTTTTCATTCTCTCCTTTCATCTTTAAAACAATCCTGTGTCACAGGTACTACTGTTAAAGACATTTTATAGTTGAGAAACTGAAGCCTAGAGGTTATTTGTCCACTGCTATATGGCAATTAAATGGTGGCCATATTAGGAGCCTTTCTGACTCTAAAATCCATATTGTACCCATGGTGACATAAGATGACAACTTTGTTCGTTCATTCATCCATTCATTCCACGAATATCCATTAAGTACGTACTAACAGCCAGGCACTGTGCTGGCAGCTGGGTGCGTTGCTGAGGAAGAACGAACAGGAGCCCCACTCCTATGAAGCTGACTGTAGTGTCACTCAGAGTCTTCATGTCCCAATTTGCTCTTTGCTCTCAGGTTTTGTCGGGGTTTTTTTAACCCCTGAGGGGAGGAGTTGACAGATTGTGAACACCAGTAGTTATTGAATTGGTCTTGTCCCAAGGCTGCTTAAAAACAGTTTTCAGTGAATGCCAAGCCCTGAATGTCTCCCACGTCCTACTGAAAGAATTAAGAGCAGGTTCTGTCTCAAATGTCGAGCCACCATCGGTCCTGAGATGCTGTGTTGGGCTTTTTCTCAGGAAGCACTTTTTTCTCCATAGCTCTTCAGTCTTCTACCATGAGGGTTGAGTTTTGTTTTGTGCATTTAAAAGCTGTGGCTCCTAGGCATGGGTGTAGCAGGATTAGAAAGGAATGGCGGGGGTGAGGGAAGACAGATTTTTGGAGCTGCTAGAAAGATTCCCCAAGATGAAGAGTTCCCGGCATCTCTTCGGTTGCTCTTAGAGCATGGATAGGGTTTCTTTGTTTTTCTTTTCAATCTTGAAGGGCGAGGCATGGGCACAGCTTGACCTTGGAGTTGCCTCTGCCCTACTTCTGCACACTTTCTCTGTCCAACAACGCTACATGTGCCAACTTCCATGTCCTGGACCCTTCTGCATCCTGTTAGACACCTCTACTGTACTCCTCCATCTTTCTTCAGTCAGTGGACAAAGTTTGCCTGCCCACCCCGGCCTAAGCAGTGAGGGACCTGGACCCGGATTAGCGGAACAGCTTTCACTGCTGTCAGCATGGGACCTAATAGAGTTGGTAGAGAGGGTTCTTTAGAGGCGCTGGTCCTGACAAGGAAAGCTTCTGTAATCTTGCCTTTGTTTAGAAATATGAACTTCGAAACCCTACTGCAGAGAGTGTCAGCAGCCACCCTGATCCGAGGCCTTGGGCAAATTCATTTGAATTGCTTTGAAATTGGATATTCAAAATTCAATAAAAATAAGCCAGCCTGATGGTACAGCTGCAGCATTGCACCCATCCAGCTGGGTAAGCCGCAATGATTTCCAGGCCTCGGTCTAGCAAAGCCCGAGTGAGATGGGGAGATACGCGCCCCGAGCTGCCAGAGGACTCTTCCTGGCAGGCCAGCCGGCCCACGGCTCCCTGCCAGCCCACTCAAGGGGCGGGGCTGGCTTTGGCACGCATCAGCCCCTCTCTCTGGCCTGCCCAGGCAGGGATACCATGCCTGCCTCAGTCGTGGCCAGGGTCCAGGAGGAGGGAATTCCTCAAGGGCAAATGGATGGGGTGTCGGAAAAACAATAAAATCACAACACTCCAGTTGTTTGGAGAGAGTATGGACTTCCCAAATACTCTGCCACAGATCCAGGGCCATCAGACACATAGGCGGGTTTAATTAAATTGTATGCAGATGTAGACAAACACCGTAATTTGCCCTTGAGCAAATGCTACTGCTTTTGCCTGTTAACGGGAACTTGACCTCCTGGATGGTGCTTTTCCTACCTACTCTGGAAGGCCCCTCTTCATCATTGCCCATTTGGAAAGGCTATTTATTCTCACTTTCCCCTAAGACTGAAGCTGTTTGATCTCCCTGCTTCAAGATAAGGTATCACAATTGTGAATAAAAACTGGGAAATGCCTATTAGACATACATATACAGAAGGATATATATATGTGTGTGTGTGTGTGTGGACATGTACATACATATATGTACATGCACATTTATATGCATTTATGTATACATATACCTATACGTTTATAGATAGACCAACCTATGAGGAGAATTCATATGTAAAAAGTGTGTCTTGTTACCCCTAAGAAACCCTGCTCAGTTTTCACAATTGGACCCATCATACTACCATGCATGAGTACAGCCTCCTTTTTGGGTTGAAATCAGTGCGTGTATGAAGCGCCTTGAGACAGATTCCAAGAGAAATATATCCGTTAACCTTCTGATTGTCGCACTGTGCCACCCACAGTACCATACCTAAAGAGGGGTAATTGGAGCGCCTGCTTGCAGGGACATTGTTAGCGGCCCACTCTATTGGCCTGCGTTATATATTGCCAACCACTCAAGGGCCAGCCGTGAAATTTAATTTGGAGTTTTACAGACACATTCTGAATCCGAAATCTCAATAATAACTTTCCCTTTGCTCAGCCTTTTAACTGTGAAATTCAGTTGGGGAGTTTCGAAGCAGCAGGTAATGTCACAGCACTCCAGAGGGATTTTGCCAGAATTCTACTAAAGTGCTTGCAAGTGTCATTTCCATATTTAACTAATTTCAGTTTTTAATTAGCTCCATGTGAAAAATGAGAGTTCACGCTGAGCTCCTCTGTCAGCACAGACGCTTGTTTCCTTTCTAGGATCTCAGGACAATTAAGAAAAAAATAGTTGATGCTACAGTAAGTGTGATCATGCATAGCTCTCTCAAGCCATAATGTTGTTCATTGACAGTGAGAGAGTGGCACCGGCCGGCCTGCTTGCCAAACTGAGAAAGAGCAGTTTGAAAAAGGGGTTTTGGATGCAGATCTGTGGATCCCAGGATCTGAATGGTTTTTTAACTGCAGGCAGTGTATGCTCGTTCCTGCATTTTCCAAGATGACCACAGATTAGTTTTTGAGAGAACACTGTATGTAATAGGTAACTGCAAAAATGGTGTTCCTGTGGGACACAGGTGTCCCCGGTGCCACCTGTGTGCTAAACTCCTGCATCCAGGTACCTTTAAGGTCATTCAGTTTCAGATTCTTAAGGCTCTTGGCATACGAAAGTAACTTCTGTATGATTAAGTTTCAAAATGCAGTTCAGACATGGAAATTTGTTAATCCTACATTCAAAGTGTAAATTTACCACTTGGGACCAACATGCAAATGAAAAACTACATACTCTTCAAAAAAAGTGTATTGAGAGGTTCTGTTTTGCATAAACTGAAAAATATTTGATGTGATCAGGTTTCTGAAACAATTTCAAGGAAGCCAAACAAAAGCAGGCCCTGAATTTCATTTGCATAGCATCCATGCTAATGGCATTATTTGTTTAAAAGAGGAGATTCATTAAAAGTTTTGAAAATGATTAAAGTAGAAAAGTGTTTGATACTTGTCTTTAGTAGCAGTTCCTGGAAATTAGTTTGGAAAGTAGAATCTTTCTTTCTCTTTTTTTGTGTTTTTGTACATTCCCTGTACAAATATAGACCAAATGTATATTTTGATCTATATTTTGGTATAGATTTTGGTATAGATTTAGAGAAGCACATGTCCTGTGGAATGGCAGAAACTCCACCATTCAAGATTTGCTTGTATAAATCACACATGAAAAGATGGAGGCAAAGTTCTGAACGTGAAGAGACCACCCATAAGTTAACGTAACTCCCACAATGAGTAGCATTACCCGGCAAGAAGGGCTTAATTTGCCAGTGGGTCTTGAGGTTGGGATTTGATCTCCCCGTTTGAGACAGCTGCCATCTCAGCTCAGAAGGTGTAATCCTCCCCTCCCCAGGCTGTGCTGGGAGTGGATGAGTGACCTGAGGAAAAAACAACAACTTCTAAATCAGAGTGATCTGTTCAGTGATCTGGGGAATGATTGCAGTTTGGATCTTTTCTATTTCTTTGTTCTTTTCAAGGTGTGAAATTAGGCGGGCCTCTTCTGGGTCTGGGGGGCGGGGGGAGGGGTAACTACACTAACAAGGAACTTTGTCCTTACATCAGGAGGCTTGGCCTACAGTTCCTTTGAAT